ATATATATATATATATATGCCATTTTTTGCTTATTTACAAAGGCTACATATGTAGGCTATAATCTGTTGTTAAAACAAGAAAAAAACATTTTGAATGCGTCCAGTTACAGCATGCACCATTTGCCATCTAGTGGCTCAACAGCTATGTTACTGAAAATACCTGAAAATACTTGAAAAGAAATACATAAATCAAGATTAATGTATCCAGCTAAAGGACACAGACAGTGCACCAAAATACAAAATAAAACTAAACTAAACTAAACACATAATATAAAAACAGCTATTCTTGCAGCAATTCTTATCACAGATACAGGCTACAGCTGAAATGTGGAGATGGGGCAATGATTTGTGGTTGAGGATTTCTTCACAGTTTATGCCTCCGTTTGCCATCATCCTGTCTCCTGCTGGGACTTGGGGTCCGGAGGTGCTGAGAAGAGGGGACTTTTAGGGCGTCCAGTGGCTTTGGCCGGGGCGACGGCTGTTTGATGGTCACAGGATGAGTGTTTGAGTAGATGGGATCTGGTGCTGCGTTAAACAGTAAATACAATATGAATTTCAGCTTTTAGCTCTGCACAGCATGAATTAACTATGCAAATATGTTACAGCTAACCATCAGCTCCAGTAATCTCTCTCAGATTGCCTTGTCTATGGGCCCCGCTGAAGTCTGCCCCAATCACCACTCTCTCCCCTCTGGGAATACTCTCCATCACCTCATCTAACTCACTCCAGAATCTCTCCTTCTCTTCTAACTCACACCCTACTAGTGGGGCATAACCACTGACTACATTCAACATTACCCCTTCAATTTCCAACTTCAAACTGATCACCCTGTCTGACACTCTTTTCACCTCTAAAACATTCCTCACAAGCTCCTCCTTCAGGATCACTCCTACCCCATTTCTCTTCTTGTCCACACCATAATAAAACAGTTTGTATCCCCCTCCTATGCTACGCGCTTTGCTACCCTTCCACCTGGTCTCCTGCACACACAGTATATCTATCTACCCTCCTTCCATCATGTCCGCCAGCTCTCTACCTTTCCCTGTTATTGTGCCAACGTTGAGTCCCTATTCTCAAACCTATACTCCTGCCTTTCCTCTTCTCTCTCTGTCTACGAATCCTTCTACCTCCTCTCCTTCTTCGACCAACAGTAGTCCAATTTCCACCAGCACCCTGTAGGTCAACAGCACTGGTGGCAGTTGTTAACCCGGGCCTTGACCGATCCGGTATGGAATTTGTACTGATGATTCGCATGTTTAAATTTGGCATGTCTTTACGCCGGATGCCCTTCCTGACGCAACCCTCTCTATTTATCCGGGCTTGGGACCAGCACAGAAGTCACTGGCTTGCAACCCCTGTGGCTAGATTTCTCTGAAAATTGAGGCTAAGCTTTGGAGAAAAACTTTAATAATAATGGTAATAAGGCTTAGAGTACTACATTGCAGTAATATCAGCTTATAGAAAGTTCTTGTATTTTACTTTCACCTGTTCCAACATTCTTGTTGTGCTTGTACTAGCTCTGAATATAATGCAGGGTTTATATAAAGTAATAAGAATCTAGTGCACACAAGGGATGTGTAGATCATCATCTAGTCATGAACAATTATTAATAAATGAAAATGATCTAGACACCCCTTGTGTGCACTGAAATCCCTATTACTTTGTGGATTTATTTTCCTGCTCTGGCTTGGCACCCTGTTGGATATATGAGAATACAGCTGTGCACAGGATGACTATTTAAGGATTTAGCAGATTATACAAATTATACTGTCATATCAAAACAGTGGAGTTGCTTAAGAATACATGGGGCTCTTATGTATTTAATTTATTAGCCACTTTTTCCTATCCATCTCTCCACATTGTGGTTGCTATTGCAGAGCTACCTTACACACAAACTGTATCTTTAAATTCCTCATAGCTCTTCAGCAAAAGCTCTGTTTTCTGAGGATTCCATAACTTAGGCGCCCCCACAGAAAAAGCTCTGTGCCCCCTAGATCTCCGCCTAGCCCTTGGTACCTCCAAGAGCAGCTGGTCAGCCGATCTGAGGCACCGGGAGGGGCTATAGGGATGTAGCAATTCTGTAAAATAAAGGGGGGCCAAACCATTTAAAGATTTAAAAACAAATAAATGAATCTTAAAATGGATTCTAAAACACACTGGCAGCCAATGCAAAGAAGCCAAAATGGGTGTGATGTGGTTACTTTTACGCCCTCCAACCAATAGATGAGGAGCAGCATTTTGGACTCTTTGGAGGAGGGCAAGGGCGACATGACTAAGCCAAAAATATAGTGCATTACAATAATCCACACGAGACGTAATAAATGCATGTATTACCGTCTCAAAATGCTGCCGTGAAAGAAAGGGCTTCACCTTTGCCAGCTGCTGGAGGTGATAAAAACTGGCCATTACAACTGCATTCACCTGACATTCCATTCTAAGAACAGAGTCTATTTTAACACCAAGGTTAGTAATGGTGGACCGCACGTACCGTTCCAAGGAACCGAAATCAACTGGGGGAAAATCACCAGAGTTATTTGGACCAAACACTATAACCTCGGTCTTCGTATCATTCAACTTCAATAAGTTTAAGGTCATCCACTTCCTAACGTCATCAAAACATGACAATAGTGATGCAACTGATGATGCGTCCCTTCCCCTCAGTGGCAAATACATCTGTACATCATCCGCATAACAATTAACAGAGACCCCATGCTTCCTGAAAATAGAGCCAAGAGGGAGTAAGTATAAGGAAAAAAGCAGTGGCCCTAAAACTGAGCCCTGCGGAACCCCAGATCCCAACGGGGTAGACTAGGACTCAGCATCAGCATTTAATTGCTTGCTCCTCTGTGATAATGTAGTGGAACTGACTCAGCTTGTGCTATTCTTGATAGGGGGCATTTAATGCAATGGATTTATTCAAAGCACCACTTAGTCCTGTAGCATGAGTGCGTGTTTGCCTCCAACTGGCATTTTGATTCACTGATTGTTATATCTAGGCTAATTAATAAAGAAAATACTGCTGTACTTGTAAATTAATACAAATTTTGCCTGAAACTGCTTTGTGTGGCCTGATAGAGCTTAACAGGTGGTTGGTACAGACAGTTTCCTCTTGTGCCAGTAGATTATTATGATCAGCAGAAACATGTTATAACTACCGTATTTTGCGCACCATAAGGTGCACCAGATTATAAGGCGCAATCTCAATTACGGGGTCTATTTCTGTACTTAACCCATACATAAGGCGCACCGTATTATAAGGCGCATGCTAAAACGTAATGGAAGCAAAACAGTGAGTTTAGTTGAACTTTATTCTATTTAACAATACACACATTATTTTTTAATCAATCTTCTCCCACAAATCCATCAAAGTCCTCATCTTCTGTGTCTGAATTGAACAGCTGGGCAATTTCGCCATCAAACATGCCGGGTTCCCTCTCATCATTGTCGGAGTCAGTCTCGATGCCAGGTGGCTGTTCAGCAATGATGCCGGCTTTCGTGAAAGCTCGGACAACTGTTAAAGCAGATATCTCAGCCCAGGCATCCACAATCCATTCACATATGGTGGCGTAACTCGCCCGGCGCTGCCTCCCAGTCTTAGTAAAGGTGTGTTCGCCGTCTTGTCATCCATCGCTCCCACGCCGCTCGCAGGGACAGTGATGCAGAACTCAAGTCCAACTCGAGTTCTGATTTTCAGGACTTTACTTGAGCATTGACTGCAACTCAGCCAAGAACAACAGTGAAAGCCGACTTCCTATGCCCCGTGGTGCGTATCGATACAGTGCTGGTCCCCTTTTTCTCCCCAGTATGGTTCACGGGGATGTCAAAA